AAAGGTTTTCGGAATTTCAAATATTTTTTAACATCAAACCCCACAAATTTCATCACAGACCAGGTGGCTGTCACTGATTTACGCTGTAAGTAGAATTATTGAGCAATGTTTGGTTTGTTCGTACAGTAGTCGGTAACTTGTCGATGACTGTCAAAATCAGAATCAGAGAGATGTTATCTGTTCGTACAGTTTCTGACTGTTTAAAGACAACTAATCCGCTGTTCGTACAGAACCTTCTGACAGATCAGAGGACACTAATCAACCAGTGACAGTGGCAGGTATCATAGTGTGTCGAAACTATCTTGAGGACTAAAATTGCTTCGCAAAAGGCATTTAATGATCGATAACTCTTCTCTAATGGACGGTCTCGGGATACCTTCGCATCTATGGGCCGTTGGCGATCTAGCTACGCCAAAGGGCTTTGCTCCTCGAAGCTCTCTTCCATGATGTCGCCGCGCGATGTGCCTGCCTGACTTCGGCGTCCCATCGTAACCGTGTCGAACTTCGTACATCCAGAACTGGCCGATAAGCCCTCTCCTTTGTCTCAAGGGTGTCGAGATCGTGTAACAATCTACATGACATGATTTTTCCAGTTCTACTAACTTTAGGCAGTTCAAAATTGGGAATAACAAAGTTTCTTTAAGTTCCTCAAAGCAGCCGCGGTGCCCTGGCATGTAGGGTTCACCTGCGCGGCTGCATCGGTTTAAAAAAAACTGAGCGATATACCAAGAAGATGAAGACTTTGAAGACCTTCTGAGGGAAGAATGAAACAGAAAAACCTTAAACCTTGAGCATTTTCAGGTAAGCAAGTGGCAGAAGAAATTTTAATGAAATTCCATTTTAAATATTTGCTAGCGCCAAAGTGCTTTCCGCTCAATATTTTGTTTATTGACCCGGTAATAGCAAAATGAAGATTATGAATACAGTATGAAAAATCCGAACAATACAGGACATAACTTTCAAGAACCATAGTTAATACGATTTTTGTGAAAATGTTTGTTACAAATGCAAAATGCAAAATTACGCGATTTAACCCTTACTTCTATGTATTTTCGTAGTCTCAGATCTTTTTGTCCATGTTGAGAACCTTGTGAAACGTACAGCTATTTAAGCAGATCTTGATAATTGTAGTTATGTTCAGCCGTTTTAGCTTTTCAGTGTATAACCCTTTATTATTCGTTTTAAGTCGCTATTAGGTCCTTGAAGTATTTTCACTCCTTTCTTCTAGTGAGAGTCTGCATAGACAGGGTATTTCTAATTTGGCACTCACCATTGGGGTAGCCAACAAAATGAAACTTAGAATGTTTCGAAATTCAAAGTACTTCCCCAGAGTAACGGAAAAACTGAATTTTCCCAAAATAGTTTTGATTTTTTCCTGCCTTATTTATATTGGGATTTTAAAATAAATTACACATTAGCAGTGCCACGTTTTCTCTTCTACAAGAAGGCGTAATCATCTATATGACTGTTCGTCTCTTGTCCTCCAGCATCAACTTTATTATTTCTTAAGTGCATTTTTGCACAGATGAATATAGTTTTTAATTTTGATTAAAAAAATCCATAAGACGTCATACATTGACGTTGTCTAACCTTGGTGACTTCAAAAAAGGAAAAAAATTTCTTAGGTAGGCCTTGAAATTATCAGATGTTTGTTTCGCTCACCAGATTTATCCCAAAATCGCTCTATTTTTTCCTGACTTTATTTGAGATGGGATTTCAAAATAAATTGCATATTGTCATTGTTACTTATTCTCGTCTGCAAGATTACGATGCCTAGAGTACGGAGACCTGTACGATTTCGTCAACTTAGTGAGTTTGATAGGGGCCGTATAGTGGGACTTCGGGAAGCTGGACTTTCTTTTCGGGCAATTGCAGTTAGAGTGCAAAGAAGTGTAGACACTGTGGTTAGGTGTTGTCATTCATGGCTTCGAGAAGGCCGTATGCAAAGAGCAAGGGGCACTGGACGCCGCCGTAGAACAACAGACCGTGAAGATCGCCGCCTAAGATTATTGGCTTTAAGGTACCGTTTCTCCACCACCAGGTCCATTGCAAATGAATGGTTTGCAGAACACGGAAGACCTATTGGCATGCGAAGTGTTTACCGACGAATGAGAAGTTTTGGCTCGTTTTCATACCGGCCACACTGGGTCCTCCCTTTAACTCGAGAACACCGACGTAATCGTCTTGAGTGGTGCAGACAACGGTCACTCTGGGATCAGGAATGGAACACTATTGTCTTTAGTGACGAGTCTCGATTTTGTTTAGGCATGCACGATGGTCGTGCCAGGGTTAGAAGGCGACGTGGTGAAAGGAGGAATCCACAGTTTTTTGTTGAAAGACATGTTCATCACACTGTTGGAGTTATGGTTTGGGGTGCTATAGTTTATGGTTCCAGGTCACCTTTAATCTTCATCAGAGGTAACATGAACGCGCAGCGTTATATCCACGAAGTTCTAGCACACCATCTTTTACCCTATCTTGACACCCTGGCAGATCCAACTTTCCAACAAGATAATGCCCGACCACATGTTGCAAGAGTCACAATAGACTTCTTTCAACATAATGATGTCACATTGGGTTTGTACCAACAACGCTGCGTACCGTACATTGTACCGTCACGCACGTGCGCAGTCCGCTTGAAGTGTTCCAACACAAACCTATGACGGTTCATGGGACGCTTGATACACTGTTCCAACAGATCTCCGACAGTTCAACGAACGGTTTTTGGACCGTCAAAACAGTACCTGGTCCGTAGCGAGGACTGTGAGTCCACACATGCGCATTGAATAGAAATTAGAATGTTGAAATTTGAAGGTTATAAGGATAAGGAATGTTGTTTTGCCATGGAGAATCAAAATATCCCAGCTTATGGTAAGTTTGACGACTATGGGGTCGGGACGTATGGAGCTAACTGCCTTCTGTTTACAGAACTAAACGAGTTTCTTGTTATGCCAAATACAAGTGCTCTGCAGAGCGAGAGTACCACGGCACGAGCACCAGAATTTAGATGGAGTCATCAGGCAACCAAAATTCTCATTGAAGTTTATGGAACCTTTAAAAGGAAGCTAGGTTCCTTCGACGTCAAAAATTCAAAGATGATGTGGTGGAAAATATCACAGGCTTTACTAAACTATAATATTAAGGTAACGCCAAACAATTGCATGAATAGATGGAGGGTACTGGAGCGGAACTATAAAAAATATGTTGATAACCAAAGGCAAACAGGTAAGAGGACTCCTAAAGCTGAGAAGTAATTGAAATTGCCTTTTAATTATGAATCCAATGAGATACACCATAGTTAGATGTAAAAGCTAAGGCAACTTTGCATATGCTTGGCAGGATGTAATTTAATTTTTTCCTGTAATTTTAGGTAGGGGAAGAACATTTTTTGAGTATAAGCATGAAATGGAGGAGGTATTTCTCAAGAAAAAAAATATCCATCCTGAATTGCTGCTAGCAAGTGATCAAATAGATACTCAAATAGATATGAACAGTGATAATGCTATCACTACAGCTGCACCAGATGTCTCTTCACCATCTAAAAGCGTAAGCAGCCCAAAATCATTGCAAGCAGTGACACCACAGAAGAAAAGTCAGATAATTCGAAAAAGACAAGGTATTATGGAAAAAATAAGAAGTGACCGCAAAACGTATTATGAGGAAAAACTGCACTTAGAAAACTTAAAATTAGAAGAAATGAAAAAAAGGAACCAACTGATTGAGGAACGAAACAACATCCTCAAAGAAAAGCAGTGTAACTGTCACCAAACAAGCTCCTAGCTTTACTGTATTTTGCCATTAAAGTTAAGTCATAGTTTATTAGTTTTGTTGTGTTCAGTATTGAAATATTAATTTTATATTATGTTATGTTCAAATTTGATTTGTGTTCTAGTTTTATATTATTGCAAATGAGTACATAAAGTTCAAACAAATGGGTATGCACTCTTTTTCCAGTACTCTTCAGGACCTTGTAGAGGAAGGTCTTAACCTTAATTAGATACTCAACAGTTTTGAAAATAATGGGTATGCAGACATTAACTCGTTCATAACTTGAATGCTTAACATAACGTCAGAAACAAGTTAGTAGTGACCTATGTGTCAAGTGATCCCAGTATTCTCAACAAAATGGACACAGCCCAAAACTCTGTAAATTATTTAAAGTTGAGCATTTCCGAGTTATAAGCAATTTATGTCTGAACATCTCTACAAATAAGCATTTTCTGTGTTGAAACTTATGGTTTGCATTGACAGGTGTCTAAATCAAAGTTAAAACCTTCCCCTACCACATACTGAAAAGTGTTATGGAATTAGTTTATTTTAAAGTTACTTATAAGCTTATTTGGTAGGCTGAAATAGGTGCAAGTGTCATTTGAACAGGGTGTACTCTGCTTGTTTTTGATTAGTTTTCAGTTGTGCAATTCCTTTTGGATAGACTGATTTATGTTTTGTTGCAGTATCTCTAATTAGCTTTCAAGTGTGTCATTTATGTTGTGATGGTACAAAGAATTCATAATTAATTTGTCTACCTCATCACTGGCTGGTGAATCAAACACATGAGTGGACTTATTTATGGACATTTCAGCTGCCCTGGCAGCCTTTATCATAGTGCAAAATAAGAAAAAAAGACACGAAATGTTGAAAGTTACAGTAACATTATGAAGGGTTTTCTATTAAATAGCTCTGATTCTAAATTCATATCAATATAGATCGTCAGTGTAACTCTTAACTGTCTATTCTTATTGTGTACTTTTAAAATGCTGCTGTCACATAAAGTAGTAAATAAGTTCATTTAATTCATGTGGTTTAACTGACTGCCCATGGATGAATAAAACTAATCTAGCATAGAACCATGTGATAAGTTTCAAGTGATTTTAATTGTTGATTAATACTTTATGCAACATGAAGACTGATTTTTTAAATGTTAAATATATGGAAATATATTTTTTTGATTTTCATACTTCTCTTTTATTTAAATTGTTGGTGCTCCTTTATTATTCTGTTATTAACGCTACAAGGAAAAAGCAATTAATTCGCATTACTATTTCATTGACATCTATCTTGACAATTTATTTTCAGTTATTAGTTAACAAGGAGATCACATATTGTATTGTCATGACCATCCATATACTGGATACCTTCTGCTACAGCTCTTGATTCATACACATAGTCATATAATGCAACACATTTATTAGATCCTAAACACTACAAATACATTTGTGATTTGGGGAAAGACTGCAATAAAAGACAATCTATCAACATAAAACAAGAGAAATGTACATGTATAGATTTTACAAAGCAGTAATAAATACTTTCACCTCATTATGCACATGAGTTTCTTTAAAATTAACACAAACTATTTAAATGATATTATACAAGGTGTTACAAAATGTAGTGACAGACATTTAAGGTCAGATAAAATATTGTAAAATGTAAAGAAAAGTTCACATGACAATGGACCCAGTCATGCTCTATTCATATGTGTGCATGTGTTAAATGTTTTCCTCCTTTAATTTTCTATTTTACATTTATCAAAAACCTGTGATTGAATAGATTCGATGCTCAAGTTTTTAATATTCATACAAATACCCCCACAGTTTTTTGATGAATGTAAAATAAACTGTGAAAGATGGAAAGCTACCATTTATCATAAAAATAGAGCATTTGTGGATCCATATTTTTATGAAATTATTAGCTGTCCCACTTCATAATATAGCTGCGATGTGGTCCCTAATAGCAACAGCACTACCATCATCTTCTATATCCTCATTATCATCACCAATGGCTACTGCAGCATTCTCAGCCTCGATTGTCTCTATTAAATTAGCATCAGGAAGTTCATCCTTGATAGCAATATTATGGAGAACACAGACTGCTCTTACAAAATGGACTATCAATGGTATCTTCCGTAACTTGATGTGATAGAGTTGACGGAATTTTTGCTTCAGCATACCAAAAGAATGTTCAATAATGCATCTATTTTTAGATAACTTTATATTGTAATTTATCTGTTGTTGAGTTAGAGTCCCTCGATCTTTGTAGGGTGTTAGCAGATTTTTTTGAAGAGGGTATCCACTGTCTCCCAGTATAAAATAGGTCCCACATTTTTGTTCTAATGTCTGACTTAGAGGAGAAGTCCGAAAAACTCGACTGTCATGAACTGATCCTGGATACCCTACAAATAAATCTTTAAACCTTCTCTGATGATCACACACAGCCTGGATCTAAAATGAAGAAAAATAAACATGAAATAACTTTCTATTATATAAATCTCACTAAAAAACTTAGACATCAAGTTTCTGAAAATGCATGACATACAGTAGCAGTGCAGAAGACAAGATATGTTGAATAAATCTGATATTTTGCATCTTTATATTGCAGTGAAGCATTTTAATGTATATGTATTGTTCAAAAGAATTTCAATAGCTGTATACAAATAAATGTAGCCCATATAATTGCAAATATATCATTTCTTTTGACATTATATGTATTATACATGATCAATTACTACACTTACTTGAATAGAGTAAAAGCCTTTTCTGTTTATGTATGATTCAGGGTCATTTTCTGGTTTATCAAGTTTTATGTGCGATCCATCTATACAACCGATGACTCTTGGAAACCCATTATTCCTGAAATGTGCTTCAATTTGTTCTTTTTCACTGTCATCAGGCCATTGAATTACTGTTGGTGATAAATTGCTAAGGAACAGTGTCAGTCTCTTTAAAATTCTTGTCACTGAGCTTATAGAAATATTATATCTATCTGCTACATCCCTGAATCCTGCAGCCTCATGCCCAACGTACCATAAATAGACCAGTACCTACAATTGGTTTCTAAGTAAGTATAATATCTTTATATATATATTATTTATTATATTATATAGTACTTACACAAAATACTGACTTGTCAGCAGGAATCTTATTAGAAATATTATTTTGTGTAAGTACTTTAAGCAGTTTTGTATGTTCAATTGATAAACAAATAAATTATGTATATATATACATATATATATATATATATATATATATATATATATATGTTGCTACTACTATATCCTACAAATTAATAATAAGTGAATACCTGGTCACCGGATAACAGTTTGCCATATGGGCCAGATTTGCTTCTGTAGTATTCACTGTTCTGGAACATGCCGCTTATTTCGTTGACCACATTTCTCGACACGCGGAAATGCTCGAAACATGTTTCATCAGAATATTGTGGGACAGTTGTCTCTGAAAAGTGAATATTCTCATTATGCTATGTTCCTCGTTATTAACTTTCAAAATTACCCAAATAGTCTTCGTTTTTTACTTTCGAGTCTTGCATAAATTCTAAGTCATCATCCGAAGAAGACTCCTCCGATGCAAAGTCGCTGAATCCGTCGTCACTCATCTTGATCTTAGTTAAAACGCTTTCAAACTAAAATAGAAAAATAGGTTGTAAACTTAGAAGGCAGAAAAATGCAGCAAACGAAAACGACACACAAAATCGAGGTTAACTTCTATGGTGACAGGAGCCACGGAACCACAGTACACAAGACAGTAGGGATGAGGATGAAGGCTGATTGATGAACAACTGTACCAAGAGATTTAATTCGTACGATCAAGTGACGGTGCAAATAGACGATGTTGGTACAAACCTATTGTTACCATGGCCACCAAGATCTCCCGACTTATCCCCAATTGAGCACGTGTGGGATATGGTGGGTACGAGATTGCTCAATTTGCAACGTCCTCCTACTCTAGAAGCACTTCGAGAGGAGTTGGTGGTTGCCTGGAATGAGATACCACAGGAGGACATTGACCACCTGATCAGAAGCATGCCTAGGCGCGTTGGAAAATGCGTAGCACATCAGGGTGCATCCACACATTATTAAAGGTCAAAGGGCTTTAAAGCAGTGCAATCATTTTGAAATTTTTATCATTTACTTATTATGCTTCATTAAGTACTTATACAAAATTTTATTAAAATAAAACCATTTAAACTGGGTGTTCGGATTTATATGTCACTTAGTATATTTAGGATCACCATGGATTCAGGTTTGAGGTTTAAGCAACATGTTACGCATTTATCTCGCATAACATACATGCGTTTGAAGATATTATACACCAATCGCCATATTCTGAATTTCAAGACTCGCAAAAAACTGGCTGAGACTCTGGTTCTGTCGTTAATAAATTATTCAATTGCTGTTTACTTTCGTTGTCTTGATTACGTGACTAGATATCGAGTACAAAAAATTCAAAATAGCTGCTGTAGGTTCATTTGTGGTCTGCGAAAGTTTAGCCATGTGTCTAAGAAGATCAATGAGCTTAGATGGTTGAGGGTTGACCAGCCTTTCACATATAATTTACTAATTTTAGTACAACGAATAAAAATCAATAGGCTACCTACTTATCTACTAAAAAGGCTGGTACCACGTGAGGTTCTCAATTACAGGAATCTCAGACATAACTCTGACTTCAATATACCTAGTTATAGGAGCAACATTTTCCATCGTAGCTTCACCTACAACGCTGTCAAGGTGTATAATAGTCTTAATGGCAATTACAAGAAGAAGGGAATACTTGCATTCAAGAGTGCCATTAAGAACCATCTTCTGGGGTCTGCTAGCCAAGCTGGCTGATATATATATATATATATATATATATATAAATCTCACTATTATTTCTGCGTCTGTTCATGCCACTAGGGGTTCAGCGTCCGACGAGTATATAGAGATTTTGGCGGCAATCCACGCAGATCTCATCATTACCGACTGAGAAATATGAAGTATACTGATCTGCGATGCTTTTGTGCTCGAAAAAATATGAAAATCTATTTGACGACTTTTCAACGTCCGTCACATTCAGTG